CAAGAGTGTACCTGAATCAGATGTGTAATTTTTAGCTTCTGCTGCAGGTTTTAGAAAAAAAAAAAACAAGGTGTGGTGTGCCTATAAGGCTATAAGGGAAGCATACCTTAATTGGAGACCTCTTCTAAGGAATGGTTTAACAAATTTCAGCCTTCCAATGTAAAAGTATTGCACTCTAGAATGAACTTGAAGCCGATGTGTAAGTGTTAGCTTCTGTTGCAAGTACCATTGTAAGTATTATTTGCCAGCTGAGCCCTTTTTGTTTAATATATGTGTTCTATTAATGATTGATTTACAAGAAAATGATTTCATAGTAAAAGTTTCATAAAAAATTTATATCTCTACCGCTCAAAGGGATTTAATATGCCAAAAACATTCTAAATGCTCTTTTGTTTTACACTAGAGCAGATCTTATGGCCATTTTTGTTGCCAAATCTATGCTAAATTTTATATAAATAACCTGCTATGAGTCGATTCAAATTATTTTCCGGTAATTATTTTTAAGTTCTTCAGTTAATTGAATCCTATTATTGACTGATTATTGTAGATATTAAATTTTAGTTACACAGTTTTAACTAAATTTGCACTTTCTTAATTGCAGCATGTCTTTGTATGCAAATTAATTGACCGGGACAACTAAAAAGTTGCTTTCTCAATGATTCATATGTAGTGTGATATTAAATGAAAGGTACAAAGTTGTGGCTCCTATTGTATCTAAATTGTCTGGATTATCCTAATCCAGGTAAACTATATCGATTTTAATACCTAATATTAGAGATTTTTAAATATAGATACCCCTTATAACTCAAACTCCTTTTTCTTGATGATAAGTATTTATTTGTACAAAAATTAGTTAACCAGTTTTACTAAATTTTCTCTATAATGATCAGTATTTTAACCACTCTTTGGTATGATTTTATATTTATAAATTAATAATTATTGATGGCCTTTCATTAATCAACTAAACTACCTTCACATTTGTGCATAACTGAATGTGTATGGATTTAAATTTGTAAACCATGACTAATACTCATCATTTTGCTACTTCCTCAGAAGTCAAAATTCGTCCTTAGTTTTTATTAATTAACAATAATTTTTTATAACGGCGTCTTACTTTCTTCTTTCCAATAGGGTGGCTTTTGTTTTAGCATGTTTTCTGTAACACTCAAAATATTGGCACACACACACACATATACACATGTTGATCATTGGATTTCAAGAGGAAAAAGGAAGGAGAAGAGATAAAATGAGTCACAAAGAGGTGCTTCTGGAGGCTGCGCGGACAGGTTTGAGCATGTTTTCCGTAACACTCAAATATTGGCGCGCGCACACACACACACACACACACATATATATATATAGACACATGTTGATCATTGGATTTCAACAGGGAAAAAGGAAGGAGAATAGATAAAATGAGTCACAAAGAGGTGCTACTCGAGGCTGCGTGGGTAGGTTATGGTGATTTTTTGTATGCTTTATTTATTTTTATATTTGTGCTTTCTTTCTGAGGCGAAAACTATTCCAAGTTCTCCAGTCCTGGCACTTAGCATTGGCTTGCCCAGAGTTTTTAATATCACACCTAGAGGAGAATTGCTGCAATGTTTTCTTCCAAGTATTATATAGATAATGATTATTGCTAAATTAGTCTTTCTTTGCTAATTGATGAGTTATAGGTCATTTAGCTCCTCCATTGAGATGAAACCTAAGTTTATTTAACTGATCTGAGACCAGTAACTTGATGACTCTTTATTAATCTCTTTTTCAATTGAACGAAACATATCTTAAAATGAGTAAAAAAACATTGGGAAAATGGAAACTAATAATCCAACCTTTTAGTGGTCTTCCTACAATAGTCCCACCTTTTGATTATTCATAAATAATCCAACCTTTGCACCTCATCTTCATTCACTGGTCCCTGACCGGTTGATGACCTGTTATTCCAAGTTATTTTCTTATCTTTGCAAAATATTATTTTTGTGAAAGGTGATATTTATGGTATAATGGTTTGCAAAGATAAGAAAATAACTTGGAATAGTAGGTCATCAACCGGTCAGGGACCAGTGAATGAAGATGAGGTGCAAAGGTTGGATTATTCATGAATAATCAGGTGGGACTATTGTAAGAAGACCGCTAAAAGGTTGGATTATTAGTTTCCATTTTCCCAAAAACATTTTGGTTTTATAGTAAAGTCATGAAATAACATGGTCATAATATTTTACAGTATTAATGCTTAAATATAAAGTAACATGGTCCTATGCAATATTATGTAGGCAACTATATGCCTGCATATTGAACATCCTATTATAGTATTAAAGCTTTAATATTTTGCAGCTTTTCTGTTCTTTATCTTCTTAATGCTTCTATGTACGGGTTATAGTGATGTTGTTGACAAGTAGATGAAGAAGTCGGTTGATATGGAAGATGATTATTTATCTAGCGCTCCAGAACTTTCATTTGACACCAGTCTGCTTGGTTAAGTGGCCTACGGTGAATATCAAAGTGTCACATGTTCCAAGTTACTCATTTACTCTGGTTTTTCCTCATAAAATGATCTTGGAATTTTCCACACATTGACATTTTTTCTATTTCATTGAATATTCTCTATAATCATTACCTTTGCTTCATTACCTATGTCCATTGCTTTGGAAGACCCCTAAAAAGAGTACTTTATGCATAAGGAATAGAAAAAACTACCAAACCCTTTTTTGAGTTAACTTATGCATTCCATATTAGAAAATAAAGACTCTTTGATTTGTGTGCGCTAATTGACATTAACATATTGTGAAGGTAGTTGCTCCTCTCGTGTCTTGCAATTTTGTTTCCAATATTTAACTATGAGCTTTTGCTATTTTAATTTTCTTTCACAACTATAGTTTCATGTTAGTTCTTTATCTAGCTGGAAACTTTTTGTTACTCATTGCACTAGGTACAGAGATTAGGGTTTTGCTGAAGCAATTTGAGGAGAAGATAGCTGATTCCCAACAATGATTTACGACGTGAACTCGCCGCTCTTCCGTTCTTCCGTTCTTCCTCAGCTGGAAGGGAGGCGGCTCCAATAAGAGGAAGTCTGAAGAGCAAAAGCCAAAGGAACACAGACCCAAAACAAGTGAGAACAAGCCTATTGTGAATGAGTAACATGCTAACAGCCTATTACATGTCCCTGCCGGCTGTTTTTAGCCTTTTAGAATGCCTTAAAGAGAGTTAATAAAATGTTGTGGACTCTATCGTATTTCCTTAACAACGTTTAAGTATACTCATATATTTTTACAATAGGTTTTCTATACCGGATCACTGGGTTAACCTTTTAATAATGGACAACAATTACTAAAGTACTGTGTAGTATTGTTTGTAGACAACATACAAGAATGGATGATTTGACCCTTCAGCTTAACTATTATGCGTGTCAAATGGATGATTTTTTAAAAATAAAAGCACGATGTCAGAAGAGGATGTTTGATGGTGTGTTGAATCTCTCAAGGTTTTCAAGATATCACTATGAATAGAGATGGGAAGCATGTTTCTGCAATGGTTATTTAATTTATACTAAGTGTTTAGTTTATACTCTTAGAGCCCGTTTGGTAGTATCCAAATCGGCTGTCTTGATCGGTTCTGTTGAAATTTATGAAATTCCGACTCAAGTGGCTGGATTGGCTGATTATGTTGATTAAAGAAAAAAATAATATATAAAATATTTTTTTAATAAAATGAAGAAAATAGTATATCAAAAAATTGTTAAAATGATCCTCTACAGTAATTTCAGTCAATACAGCAAGAAAAGTAATTCCAACAATACTTTTTCTTATCATTACAAAACTCAGCGTGCGAAACCAAAAATTACGTGTTTGGTGAAGAGAAAAATGTTTATTACATTGAATTAATCCTACAAGTATATGGTACTCCCTCCGTCCCAATAAATTCTTCCAAGTCAAACTTGGCTCGCAAATTAAGAAAGTGAGAATAAAGTGGAAATGTATGGTTGTAGTTGTGTAAGAAAAAGGTGAATGAATGTGAACCATACAATTTTTCCAAAAGTGAAAGTTGGAAGAATTTAGTGGGACGGAAGGAGTAATATAAAAAAAGGAATATTACTCGAAATAGGACTAAAAAGGTTTGAAAATTTCAAAATAGGACCGTTATGTTTTTATTTCCAAAATAGGACTAATTACTGCCATGTTTTGGCAGTACCAGACTTCAAACGTGTCATTATTTTCCAAACTTGGCAGTAATTACTCATATTTTGGGAATAAAAACATGACAGTCCTATTTTGGAATTTTCAAACTGTTTTAGTCCTATTTTGGGAACTTTCCCTATATCCTTACAGTTCCTATACCGTGGGATCATCCCACGGTGAGCACCATGCTCTCACTCCCAAAACGACGTAATTTTGCACAATTTTTTAAAAAAAAAATCGCGTGAACAGTACACGCGTGTACAGTAGCTGTTTTTTCCTTCTTTTTATCCGAGTAGCATGAATGATGTAACTCACATGTAAATATATGTAACTCACATTATTGATCAATGTAACTCAAGTCCAGTCGAAATGTAACTTTGTCAAATACATAGTATAAGAAGTAAACTTTGATTTAAATGTAAATAATGATAAAAAAGAAGTCAAATTATTTTACATAAATAGTGTTATTGTTTTGTTTTTAATATCAGGGCTACAAAAATGTTTTTTTATATATAAAAAATTTCTTTGAATATCAAATGTTTATTGTGTTGTGTAACTCGCATTATATTGCGGTATAACTCATATTATATAAAATGTAAATCACGTGCAAGTATGATGTAACTTGTTGATGAAAATTGACATATAACTCACGCTAATAGATATGTAACTTTAGGCAAATTCTAATGTAACTGCATGTATTTTCAAATGTAATTTGAGCCAAATCAAAATGTAAATTGTCTAAACTGAAATATATGTGTGTGCGCGTGTGTGTGTGAAGATTCCTAATCAACCCTAATGTTCTCATGCTTGGCCAGCAAAAACATCCATGACTCATCACTGATGTGCAATCTGAAGGAACGGAAGTGGGATTGTGATCGATTGTGTTTGCAGGCTCAGATAGGTCGTACAAGCCAAAGCAGAATATGATAGTTGCAATCAGCGAAAGCCAAAGCTGAATAGGATTTAACTTGCTTGGCCGGATTTTATTTCGTGCTCGCCGGCTGCGTGCAGAGCTCCGTCTTTGTAGGGAAAGGCAGACTTGTTCCTTTGTTTTAACTAAACGATACCGTTTTTGGGCTTGGAGCACGATGCACACTGTGGAATGATCCCACGGTATAATTTGCGATATCCTTAAGCACATGTGTCACTTTTTTTTTTTGAAATAACATATGTGTCACTTATGTATACAAAAAATATAATAATCACTTGAAAATTTTAAGTTAATTATCTTATTAATCAAAAAAATTTATTTTAATTTTGTTATGCAGTTGTCTACACTATGGAGTATGGAGTTACTAAAAATACCCACGATCGCGATAATAGATATGTCATCCCACACAACCGTGGCTTATTGTTGAAGTATAGCGTTCACATTAATGTCAAGTGGTGTAACCAAACATGGGCGGTTAAGTACTTATTTAAGTACATCAATAAGGGTGACGATAGGATAACCGTGGAGTTATCAGAAGCTATAGATAACTCTACTCCGAAAATAATAGATGAGATTAAGTCATACTATGACTGTCGGTATATATCCACATGTGAGGTTGCTTGGAGAATTTTCGGATTCCATATTCATTATCGAAATGCACCAGTTGAACGTCTCGCTTTTCATCTTGCTGATGCGCAAAATGTATACAACAATCCCAATGCATCTATAAGCTCGGTCCCGAATAAACCTACGATCAACTCCACAAAATTCACTGCTAGGATGAAGGCAAATCAAGTGTATCCTACTGCCAAAAAGCTAATGTATCATGAGTTTCCAAGCAAATTCAGGTGGAAGAAAAATATCATGGAAAGGGTAGAAAGAAAGAGAGGATTTGCTATTGGACGCATTTATTATGTATGCCCTGAAGCAGGTGAGAAGTACTATATATGCATACTATTGAATATTGTGAAGGGAGCAACCGGCTTTGAGGAGTTGAGGACTTATGAAGGGACCGTATATCCTACATTTAGTGATGTGTGCTACACATGTGGTTTACTTAAAGATGAAAGGAGTATATTGATGGCATTACAGATGCAAGCTTCCGGTCATCTTCACGGTCACTTCGCATTGTATTTGCTACTCCACTGGTCACTTTGCAAGAATACGGGTAATCCAAGCATGTTATATTCTAAACCATTTTTTAATATTTTACTTAATTACTCTCTTATACAAATTTATGTATTTTAGTTCTACAATAAATGCTTCTCGATGAAATACTTAACTGATTGTCTTACATACATAGCTAATGACATATTAAGTGAGATAAAAAAAAATGTACACGAGAGTATATTACTATATTTACGAAAAAGATCCTCTCAAGTAGTTTTGACAGGAAGCCCTGTCCAAACTTGACTACTTGACTATCAGGGGTGCTTCCCGGTGGATTTTTTTATGAAATTTTATGAGCACGTTCCTCATGAAGTGAAAGTTTTCTTCACAAAATTTCAGCTCTATATTAAATCTAGAAGTCAGTTAAATAACTTATGGAAAATGACTCCGTTTTTCGTGTACATTTTGCCGCAATTGTTTTTAAAAAAATTATGTAACTTCCTTCCTTATTGAATTTTAAGCTGAAATATAGTGGTAATAAACTAGACTTGATGATGAACATGCTTACAAAAATTCATTAAAAAATTCCACCGGGAATTGCCTATCACAGGAAAGTTCGAACGAGGATTAACGTCACAACTACCCGAAGTGATCATTACTCTCTCTCTCTCTCTCACTCTCTAACACACACATGTGTGTGTGTGTGAAAGATCACCATAAAAAATGTTTTTTTGAATATACTAAATGTTAGTAGTTTATTCCCTTATTAAAATTATTTATTACAAAATTTTTCTTTAGAGAATATGAATGATAGCTTATACTACGTTACTATGTAAGATTGTGTATATTAACGTAGTTTACTACCGGAGTACTATTTACTATGTTAGATATGGCTTTTGGATATTTTTAATAATAGTATAAAAATTATACTTAGAGTGAACTTATATATTTCATTTACTAAATTGATAGGAAAAAGCTAAAAGGTTAACAAATAAGTAAAGGTCGATCAATTAATACAAATAATAGCGTTTTTATTATTACTTAATTTTTACTCTACATTTTCACTTTAAAAAAATACAAAAAAGTTATGCATCTTTTCATGTTGAGTGATGAATTTAGTAAAAAATAAAATATTTTAATAGTGAATTAGTAAACATGTTTTCTTTTTTACATGTTAATTAAAGTTAAAAGTATTATATGTTTAATTTGGTTGTGATGAATCTTAACTATTGTGGAATATTTTATTTGTAAGTATAATCTTAACTAACCTACTAAAATATTTAAATGCACTACTGCAGATTTTGAACTGGATCAAGAGAAAATTGAAAAGTATTGTTTGTTGGAGATTCAGAAGCTCTTGCAGTCAAGAGGTAGATCATTACGCGATTTTGCTGGCATACCCTTGCTACCTAATGAAATTCCCTTGCTTGAAGAAGTTCTCATTCATGAAGAGCTGCAGTATAATAAATCGTATTTGATGGAGGAGCATGCAAAGTTGTTGGCCGAGATGACAGATGAACAACGTGTTGTGTATGATAGAATAATGGAATCTGTAGATTGTAGAAACGTGAAATTCTACTTTCTATATGGCCACGGAAGAACTGGGAAAACATATCTATCAAGGACTTTGTCTGCAGCTATTAGATCTCGCAATGATATAGCTCTTAACGTTGCTTCACGTGGTATAGCATCGTTTCTCTTGCCTGGAGGAAGGACCGCACATTTTTGGTTTGCGATTCCACTTAATGTTGTAGAAGACTCCACGTGCAACATAAAACATGGTAGTCCGTTGGCTAAGCTGATAGAGTTATCTAAGTTGATTATATGGGATGAGGCACCGATGACGCACCAACACTGTTTCGAAGCTCTTGACTGGAGTATGAGAGTCGTGCTTCGTTACTCCAGCCATTGTGACGCTACCTTGCCTTTTGGTGGGAAGACGATTGTATTTGGTGGTGACTTTAGATTCTTCATATGATACCAAAAGACACGAGACAAGATATTGTGCACGTTGCACTGAACAATTCATCCTATAGTCACATTGTAATGTAGTGAGGCTTACTAAAAACATGAGGCTCGCAAGGATGCTCAGCCAGTCAAATGGACCAATTATCCAATCTTTTGCAAAGTGGATTTTGAAGATTGGTGACATAGCTTTTGCTGAAAATCAAGATGGAGAATCACTCATTGATATGTCAGACGATATGATCGCTCTAATGACGTCTGATTCTGTTAAATCTACAGTTCAAGCTATTTATCCTGATTTCTTAACCCAGAGTGATTCGATTAATTATCTCTATTCGAGAGCTATTCTTGCTCCGACCATAGATGAGGTTGATAAGGTCAACGATTACATGTTGAGCCAAATAGATTCAGAGTAAAAGACACACCTAAGCTCAGATTCAGTTTCTTCATTTGACTCAGATAGTAATGATCTCTTGCATGAAATACATTCTCCTGAATTTCTTAATAGTATCAAATGTTCTGGCTTGCCGAGCCATGAGCTGAAAGCTGAAAGTTGGCGTTCCTACGGATAAAATGCCAGCGAAAAGTTTCTTATTCCCTGCCTTACTTTGACACCATCGAACATTAGTCTCCCGTTCACTTTCAGCGTAGACAATTTCTGTTAATGGTTAGCTATGCAATGACCATTAATAAGAGCCAGGGACAGTCATTGGAAAAGGTTGACATCTTCCTCCGTCAGCCTGTTTTTACCCATGAACAGTTTTACGTGGCGGTCTCGAGAGTAACAAGCATGTCTGGGTTAAAGTTTGTTATATGTCACAAAGAAGGGAAATCAACGAAGTCAGCGTTGAATGTAGTATACAAAAAAGTTTATACTAATTTATAGTTCCCTTGCTTTGCATACATGCATTCTCATTGTTGCGTATATCCATCATGATTTGTACTTAATGAGTTAGGTTAATTGGCTATAAAATTATTTGAGTTTATGTATGATTTATCCAAACATCTTCACTCCCGTGCGTAGCACGGGTGGAATTACTAGTTTTTTTAGGGTAATTCTAAATGCCGCCACGTATATTTCCTAAATGCAGCCCATTATTTTATGATACCTATAATACCCTTATTTACTAAATACACTCCCATCAGAAGGCCATCTTCAGCAACGATCACCAGCTCCTCCACGGCGCTAATGGCCATTACCTCCCTGCCTGAGAGCTGCGCATCCGGTGGAAGGTTTTCTGTAGAAACGCTCAAGCTTTGGGTGATTTGGTGGGCCCATTGCGTTCAACATCATTTGTTTGTTTGGAACCGGCTATGCTACCAACATCTTCGTCGGCCATCTCAGAGACATCGATCTCTCCTCTATTTCAATCGCCCAGTCCGTTATTAGCACTTTTTCTTTCGGCTTTATGATTCATACTTTAATTTCCCCAAATTTTACTTTACTCTTTCTTTTTTCAAAAAAATCAAGAAGTATTGTACTCCCTAATTAAAAAAAATGTCATCTTCAACACCAAAGACCCCCATTCCTTTCCACAGGTACGGTGGCTGACCTTGGTCTCTTAGATCAAGATTAGTGGGTTTAATTAAGAATGGGTTTGATCAATTTGTTTTTCTTTATGTATTTATTATCTCACTATAGTGGAATGTCTCTTTGAACAAGAACAAACAATCCGAAGGACGGCAACCAGAGTCCGGCCTGTTTGCGTTTCCTGAATTTATATTCCAAAAGGGCAAATTGGATATTTAAACTAATTTTATTTATTAATGTTTAATTTTGGGGCTGTACTTAGCAAAACGAGGACTGTGAATAAAATTTCCCTTTTTTTTATGATACTTTCCTGAGTCTGCCAGCTTATTCTTTGGATTGGGCCTTTTTATTTGGCCCAACATTCAGTATTTTTTGATTATTTTGTATTTTGATTGGGTCAGGTCTAGCCCCCTCAGTCTATTTTTCTTTCTTTTTCTGTTACAGATTGGGTCAGGTCTAGCCCCCCCCCCCCCCTCCAATCTGTCTTTTATTTTCCTTCTTTCAATATATTTTGAGGAGGTATGCCTTCCTCCGAAGGGGTTTTGGAGTAGTCCTCCCTTCTATTTGTACCAGATCTCTATTTAATAAAACTCTGGTAAATGCTCCCCAGCATTTATCTCACTGATTTTGGTGGTTTGCCTTACGGGGTAAAAAAAAGCTCAAAAGTTTTTTTGAGAAACTTTTGTAAACAGACCCTAAGCATTGAAACTCTACATTCAACATCAAAACATTCTCATTAAGTTCTCTGCTAATTAAGACTATGAGAGTGTTTGAAAAAAATTAAAAAAGTGTTTTTCAACTTTTAGCTTTAAAAAAGTTGAAATTGGTGTTTTCCAGTGACATGTTTTTCTTAAATTAGGCACTTAAAAGTAAAAAGATAAAAGCATGTTGAGGAGCAAAAATCTTACTAGGCATGTGACGGGCTCATTAGTGAGCACGTATGCCTGGCCGAAGAGGATTCTTTTCGTATCTGCTATATTTATTGACGTGTGTTACTAAGATTACATTTCTTCTCATTCTAAAACTAAAATTCCATTTTAACTCATTCTACATGTTGTACAGCTAAGATGCCAGTTTGGTAAACTAGTATTCTTTTTTAAAAAAATATTGGTAAACTAGTATTAGTTGAACCCCAAAAATTGGTGAAATTTCATTAGGAAAACTGTC